AAGGCAGTCGCTTAACCAACTGAGCCACCCAGGCGCCCCTATACTTTTATTTTTTATTATAATTTTTAAATTCCAGTATAATTCAAATAGAGTTATATTAGTTTCATATGTACAATACAGTAGTTCAATGATTCAATATATCACTTGATGCTCATCACGATAAGTGTACTCTTAATCCCCTCTATCTATCTCACCCATCCCCCCATCCACCTCCCCTCTGGTAAGTACCAGTTTGTTCCTTATATTTAAAAGTCTGTCTCTTGGGGCGCCTGGGTGGCTCAGTTGGTTAAGCGACTGCCTTCAGCTCAGGTCATGATCCTGGAGTCCCTGGATCGAGTCCCGCATCAGGCTGCCTGCTCAGCAGGGAGTCTGCTTCTCCCTCTGACCCTCCCCCCTCTCATGTGCTCTCTCTCTCAAATAAATAAATAAATAAAATCTTTAAAAAAAAGAGTCTGTATCTTTTTTCCTTTGTTCATTTATGACAAGCTTATTTTTAACATCTACCTATGCAAAGACAGAAGTTCTTATTATTTCTGGAAAATTTATATTTAATAATCTGAAAAAAGGGATTATGGGATGGCTGGCTCTACTTATGTATTATTTCTAACTGCTCTCTGTATTTAATATGTTAATATAACTTCAAGTGTTATATTATTAAAAGAATCATATTCTGTGAAAATAAAAGCACTATTAAAATGTGAGTAGATCATTTTATATGCCTAATGACTTATAAACATTTTAGATACATGACAAAAATTCCATTTTGTTTGAAATGAAATATATTATTAGCTACAAATTATTTATTGTTTAAAATAAGAATTCTATATTATTTATGTTGCCTTATAAACACAAGTAAACACATTTCACTTTGGTTTGAGAGAAGGCACAGCTTTTTCATGCCTTTCTTTGAAAAGGAGGGGGAAACGTAGTAAAATGGCAGGATAAACGAATATGTATCTTTAACAGATAAAGAACAAAGAAGAGAAACTTGGCTTGGTAGGATTCATGAAGCATGGGCTCGAGGCAACATGAGCCAATGCTGACGGAGGCACTGCTTCCACCACAAACACAAATGTTGAATAAAATATAACAAAAGCATGTTAGTGACAGTCTAGAACAGAAAAGGGGGGGCGGCAATCCCGATAAGCCAGAAATTAAAAAAGAAAAAAGAAGGGTAAACTGGAATGGACTGCACAGTGGTCAAAAAAAGTTTCAGATCAGACATAGGACCTAGGAGCCAAGAACTAGGGTTTAACACCCACAAGGGGTCAGGATTTGTGGCCTCAGTCCCACTGGGAGAAGAGCGTAGGAACTGAACTCTACACAAAATGGAGAATCTTAAAAGGCTGTCTTTCTGTGAAAATTGGACTAGAAAACACTACCCAGACTATGCTGATGAAGCCAGGAATCTGCCCAAAATTTTGGGTGGGGAGAGGAGCCACCCATGACTAAAAACAGAATATACAAATATCTTGGCCTTTATGAGAGGTGATTTTCATTACCACATGATGTATGAACCTGTGCCAAGAAACAAATACTGGTCTAGGACCAATAAAACTCCTAGGATCCTGGGAGAGCCAAATGCAAAACTCAGCTGTAAGGATAGGTATGCACATACGCCAAAAAAAAAAAAAAAGTGATCTGCACAAGAATATGTATAGAAGCACTGTTTATAACAATGAATCATGGAACATTTCATCTAAAACTAATGATGTAATGTATGGGGATTAACATAAGAATAAAAAAAAAAAGAAAAAAAAAAAAGAAGCACTGTTTATAATAGTCCCAAACTGAAAACCCCAATGATCATCTATAGAATAATATATAAGCAAACTTTTATTTTTTCAATGATTATACAGCAAGGAGAACAAATATCTAGCCTATGCAAAAATGTGGATGGGTCCATAAATATAATATGTAAAATAATAGACAGAAAAATTCTGTATGTTTCCATTAATATAAAGTTCCCAGACAGTTAACCCCTCTATAATGTTAAAAGTTGAGATGGTAGTTACCTATGGGGAATGACTGGAAGGGGTGCAAGAGGACTTTTGGG